AAATCAGACAAGTGCCACCATAGCAACCGTTATTTACTTTCCTCGCCTAGAATTGACAGTGACCCTCAGAAATTGTTCATTTAACATATTTCGCTAGAAAAAAAAGATTTTCTTCAGCTGTAATTATGGAAATAAAATTTATTGACATTACTGACTTTGCTTATTTAATCTGTATGCTGAATCAAGTGGAAAAAAACATCTAAAGTAGTGTAATTAGAATGAAAACAGATATTTTACCCATTTTCAATAAATACAACTTTATGTATTAGTAACCATGGCTACCGGGTGCTGAACTGAGTGAAACAGACTGAAATCTAGTATGAATGCATCAGGAGATAGCCTGTAAACTATTTGATGTTTGGTATCAACTTTACCAATAACACAATTGACACATATGTGATGAATTGCAGAATTTCACAAGTGCCTGTGAAAAGTGCAAGTTACCTCCCTTTATACATCCACAGGTAACAGGCTATCGACCTTTATATTGACCTATCTATGTAACGGGGTTTTTGGCGTTTTTGAGTAGTTTTAAGTATTAATGAATGAAAGTGAGGCTGAATCAAGCATAAAAAGACATTTTTTCAGAAAAAATCAAGTTCTGTGTGTATATGGTAGTAGTATACAGTAGAAATGGCCCGACTCTGATAAACAAGGCACATGTCGAGGAAATGTAAACACAGCGGATTTACCCTACACAACACATGTATACATGTATATATATTTGTAAACTGCATTACATTTACAATACATATAAAGTACTGAGAAGTGTATAAACCTCTTTTTTCTATGTATGTCACTTGTGTTACCACATCAAAAATTACCAAAAAATGCCAAAAATTGCTATTTTTAACCCAAAATTTGACCCCCGCAACTAGTTATTTTTTTCCTAAGCTCTGTCTGAAATTAAAGATTACCTACCTGGTTGCAGAATTATCTGGGTCCCAGTAAAGTTGTAAAACTTGATTTTTTGCAATTTTTGCGTCATGTGCTGTTGTCAAAATGTTGCCTCCTATAAAGCTAGCTTTTCATGTGTACGCACCCTTTCGGATTATGGCCAACATTTTATTCTCGAACCAAAAAAATCTTCTTTCTTTTTACAAATGTGGAGCTCACATAGCCCACTTCATCATGCTTAAACCAATTTTAGTACAGTTTTATTTTTATATATTTTTTACATATCATTATACAGGGGTTAGCCATTTAACAAAAATATCACCAATGGCCACAACCCTATACTGTATACTGCTACCTTTGTAGAAGTATAAAATACATGATTGTGATGTGTTTGTATTTGACAGGGTTTTGTAGAAGTATACAAAACTTGATTGTGATGTGTTTGTATTTGACAGGGTTTTAATTTGTTTGTATTTGACAGGGTTTTAATGTGTTTGTATTTGACAGGGTTTTGTAGAAGTATATACAATACATGATTCAGATTGTATTGTGTTTGTATTTGACAGGGTTTTAATGTGTTTGTATTTGACAGGGTTTTGTAGAAGTATATACAATACATGATTGTGATGTGTTTGTATTTGACAGGGTTTTAATGTGTTTGTATTTGACAAGGTTTTATTGTGTTTGTATTTGACAGGGTTTTGTAGAAGTATATACAATACATGATTGTGATGTGTTTGTATTTGACAGGGTTTTAATGTGTTTGTATTTGACAGGGTTTTCCTGATTTCAAGCCACCCCAGCATGTTATTGATGAGATTGTCAAAGCTGTTAACTCAGACAATGCTCTGCTAGCTCAGTATGCTCGCAGCTATGTAAGTATACTCATGTTACTGGTACATAGCAAAATCATAAAGTTGTTTCATCAAGAAATAAAGCGAACGTTTTCCAAACTTTTAATCTTTTAATTAACAGTCGGAAATGAAAAAAAAGTGTTTGCCCTGGAATATGTAGGAAACTGAATTGCATATCATCCTTATTGCTATGAATATGCATTTCAATTCTTGTAAATTATTGTACCTAGTTAGCATGGTACCCACAAAGGTATGTTAAAATACACAGTACAAGATAGTAGTGAGCTGTTGTATATCGTAATAAATGTATCAGGATATGTGATATACTTGCAGGGACACCCACGACTAGTAAATGTCCTGTCCAAGCTTTATGGCCCCCTCATGAAACATGAGATCAACCCAATGACAGATATCACAGTGTGTGTGGGGGCATATGGTGTGCTCTTCTGTGCTGTCCAGGGATTGGTCAACCCAGGTGATGAGGTAAGTATAGTGAGGCAAGGGTGTGTAAGGTCATTGTGATGTGGGCAACATGATATCATCAAGGTGAGACGGTGTGGTTGGTGTGTGGTTGGTGTAGGGTAGGTATAATTAGGGTTGGGGAGTGTAGTCAGAGGTCGGGTGAGTGCAGTCCGAGGTCGCTAAGTGTGGTATGGGTGGTTTTGGTATTGTCAGGACAGTTTGGATGTGATAAAAGTGGGGTGGGTGTTCAGATTGAGATGGATGTGGTCAGATTGAGGTGGGTGTGGTCAGATTGAGGTGGGTGTGGTCAGATTGAGATGGGAGTGGTTATATTGAGGTGGGTGTGGTCAGATTGGGGTGGGTGTGGTCAGATTGAGATGGGTGTGGTCAGGTTGAGGTGGGAGTGGTTAGGTTGAGTTGGATGAGATTTTAATGATTATGTTTCAAGTGTCTTATTACCGTTTCTTCATCAGGTGATCATTGTTGAACCGTACTTTGACTGTTATGAACCCATGGCCATGGTAGCTGGAGCCACCCCTGTATTTGTACCCATCAGACCAGTGAGTACAGAATAGACTTCTGCCAATGAGTGATGTAATTCAGTGTTTATTTCTATATTTCTATTTTAGACAAAGTCTAGTATGATGTTCAGTGTGTCGTTTTGTATTTCAGACTAAGTCAAGTGTGATGTTCAGTGTTTTGTTGTGTATTTCAGACAAAGACTGGTGTTATGTCCAGTGCTGACTGGAAACTTGATCCTCAAGAGCTGGCCAGCAAATTCTCCAGCAAAACAAAAGCCATCATCATCAACAACCCTAATAACCCAATTGGCAAGGTAAGTGTTAGATAAAGGTGCTGGTTCGCATGGTTTTCCTCTGACTTTGTGATGACCTTGTCTGGTATTCTGTAGTGTAAGTACAAAAGTTCCTCTGACCTTGTTATGACCTTGTCTGGTATTCTGTAGTGTAAATACAAAAGTTCCTCTGACCTTGTGATGACCTTGTGATGCCCTTGTCTGGTATTCTGTAGTGTAAATACAAAATGTCCTCTGACCTTGTTATGACCTTGTCGGGTATTCTGTAGTGTAAATACAAAAAAGTTCCCAAGACCTTGTGATGACCTTGTCTGGTATTCTGTAGTGTAAATACAAAAAAGTTCCCAAGACCTTGTGATGACCTTGTCTGGTATTCTGTAGTGTAAATACAAAAGTTCCCCTGACCTTGTCCAGATTTGTTATTTTGTAGTGTAAGCTAATAATAACATCAAATAAGTTTTTCTGATGACGACCTTGATAATTATTGTTGTTTTTGGTAGGTATTCAAGGAGGATGAACTTCAGATGATTGCTGACCTCTGTATAAAACATGATGCTATCTGTATAGCTGATGAAGTGTACGAATGGCTCACCTATGACAACAGTAAACATGTCAAAATTGGTGAGTTCCTAGTGCAGGTGAACTTCAGGAATATGTTTTTACCCCGACGTTAGAGAGTAATATCTCTCTTGATATCATCAGTTAATGCTGTGTTGACTTGAGAAATTGCTTGTGTACAAACTAGGCGACAGTTAGAGCTGTCACGATACACTTAACCCACGATTCAATACGTATCTCGATATTTGTACCACGATTCCACTCTTTTGATTTGAAGCTTCCGAAGCATCACAAATTTTCATTTCATTACCTCGGTCCGCCATTTTGTTATGAACACTTTGTGAAAATTGTATCCACGCAGCCAATTGGCTGAGGAATTAGAGATCAGCCAATGAAATTGAACGTCTCACAGACGTTTCGGCTGAAGCGGCATACACTAATATTCAGATCGTGACATATCGAAAATCTGGAAAAAGATATCGTGAATCGAATCGAACATCAATAATCACGGTACAAGTGCATCGCGGTGAATCGTGACGCCTCTAGCCACAGTCTAGGTTTATCTATTGAAAAACTTATCACATGAGGTTTAGACAGATCACTAATAATTTTGAGATTAAAATGACAAGCTATTTTAAAGTTACTTTGTATTATATCTTCATAAATAAGTTTTTATATAGATGTGCAGGGATAGTTCTCAATTAAGCCAAAAATCTATAAAACTTTGTGTTTGTGTTTGACTTCAGCGTCACTGCCAGGGATGTGGGACAGAACCGTCACCATTGGCAGTGGAGGCAAGACATTTAGTGCCACAGGCTGGAAATTAGGCTGGGCCATAGGACCTCAGTCACTCATTCAACCCATGCAGATCCTGCATCAGAATTGTATCTACACTAGTCCAACACCCATACAGGTAATTCGTCATATTCTTATAGGTAATAAACAACACCCATACAGGTAATACATCATATTCTTATAGGTAATAAACAACACTCATACAGGAAATACGTCATATTCTAATAGGTAATTAACAACACTTGTACAGGTAATATGTCATATTCTTATAGGTAATAAACAACACCAATACAGGTAATACGTCATATTCTTATAGGTAATAAACAGCACCCATACAGGTAATACATCATATTCTTATAGGTAATAAACAACACCCATACAGGTAATACGTCTTATTCATTCTTATAGGTAATAAACAACACCCGTACAGGTAATACATCATATTCTTATAGGTCATAAACAACACTCATACAGGTAATACATCATATTCTTATAGGTCATAAACAACACCCATACAGGTAATACATCATATTCTTATAGGTAATAAACAACACCCATACAGGTAATACGTCTTATTCATTCTTATAGGTAATAAACAACACCCGTACAGGTAATACATCATATTCTTATAGGTAATAAACAACACTCATACAGGTAATACATCATATTCTTATAGGTCATAAACAACACCCATACAGGTAATACGTCATATTCTTATAGGTAATAAACAACACCCATACAGGAAATATGTCATATTCTTATAGGTAATAAACAACACCCATACAGGTAATACATCATATTCTTATAGGTAATAAACAACACCCATATAGGTAATACATCATATTCTTATAGGTAATAAACAACACCCATACAGGAAATATGTCATATTCTTATAGGTAATAAACAACACCCATACAGGTAATATGTCATATTCTTATAGGTAATAAACAACACCCATATAGGTAATACATCATATTCTTATAGGGAATAAACAACACCCATACAGGTAATATGTTATAAATTATAGGTAATAAATCACACTCGTACAGGTAATACATCTTATTCTTATAGATCATAAATCACAATCTTATAGGTAATAAACCACACCCGTACAGGTAGTAAACCACACCCGTACAGGTAATAAACCACACTCTACAGATAATAAACCACACGTGTACAGATGATACGCTACACTTTGTCTGGAGTATGAGTTAGTTGTATGTACATATCCCTATTAACAGGAATCCATGGCTGAGTACGAGTTAGATTGTATGCCTCCATTTTTAACAGGAAGCCGTGGCTGCAGGTCTGGAATACGAGTTAGATCTGAAGATTAAGAACAAGCTGGAGGACTGCTATCTTTACTCTCTGGCTAAGGAAACTCAGCCCAAACGTGATAAACTGGCCGCCATGTTACAGGACATCGGCATGGATGTGACAATGCCTGAGGGTGGATATTTCCTTATGGCTGACATCTCTAAAATTAAAAACAGTAAGTAATATAGAAAATAAGTTCCCNGCAGTAATATAACAGTCAGTTAGAGCAGTAATATAACAGTCAGTTAGAGCAGTAATATAACAGTCAGTTAGAGCAGTAATATAACAGTCAGTTAGAGCAGTAATATAACAGTCAGTTAGAGCAGTAATATAACAGTCAGTTAGAGCAGTAATATAACAGTCAGTTAGAGCAGTAATATAACAGTCAGTTAGAGCAGTAATATAACAGTCAGTTAGAGCAGTAATATAACAGTCAGTTAGAGCAGTAATATAACAGTCAGTTAGAGCAGTAATATAACAGTCAGTTAGAGCAGTAATATAACAGTCAGTTAGAGCAGTAATATAACAGTCAGTTAGAGCAGTAATATAACAGTCAGTTAGAGCAGTAATATAACAGTCAGTTAGAGCAGTAATATAACAGTCAGTTAGAGCAGTAATATAACAGTCAGTTAGAGCAGTAATATAACAGTCAGTTAGAGCAGTAATATAACAGTCAGTTAGAGCAGTAATATAACAGTCAGTTAGAGCAGTAATATAACAGTCAGTTAGAGCAGTAATATAACAGTCAGTTAGAGCAGTAATATAACAGTCAGTTAGAGCAGTAATATAACAGTCAGTTAGAGCAGTAATATAACAGTCAGTTAGAGCAGTAATATAACAGTCAGTTAGAGCAGTAATATAACAGTCAGTTAGAGCAGTAATATAACAGTCAGTTAGAGCAGTAATATAACAGTCAGTTAGAGCAGTAATATAACAGTCAGTTAGAGCAGTAATATAACAGTCAGTTAGAGCAGTAATATAACAGTCAGTTAGAGCAGTAATATAACAGTCAGTTAGAGCAGTAATATAACAGTCAGTTAGAGCAGTAATATAACAGTCAGTTAGAGCAGTAATATAACAGTCAGTTAGAGCAGTAATATAACAGTCAGTTAGAGCAGTAATATAACAGTCAGTTAGAGCAGTAATATAACAGTCAGTTAGAGCAGTAATATAACAGTCAGTTAGAGCAGTAATATAACAGTCAGTTAGAGCAGTAATATAACAGTCAGTTAGAGCAGTAATATAACAGTCAGTTAGAGCAGTAATATAACAGTCAGTTAGAGCAGTAATATAACAGTCAGTTAGAGCAGTAATATAACAGTCAGTTAGAGCAGTAATATAACAGTCAGTTAGAGCAGTAATATAACAGTCAGTTAGAGCAGTAATATAACAGTCAGTTAGAGCAGTAATATAACAGTCAGTTAGAGCAGTAATATAACAGTCAGTTAGAGCAGTAATATAACAGTCAGTTAGAGCAGTAATATAACAGTCAGTTAGAGCAGTAATATAACAGTCAGTTAGAGCAGTAATATAACAGTCAGTTAGAGCAGTAATATAACAGTCAGTTAGAGCAGTAATATAACAGTCAGTTAGAGCAGTAATATAACAGTCAGTTAGAGCAGTAATATAACAGTCAGTTAGAGCAGTAATATAACAGTCAGTTAGAGCAGTAATATAACAGTCAGTTAGAGCAGTAATATAACAGTCAGTTAGAGCAGTAATATAACAGTCAGTTAGAGCAGTAATATAACAGTCAGTTAGAGCAGTAATATAACAGTCAGTTAGAGCAGTAATATAACAGTCAGTTAGAGCAGTAATATAACAGTCAGTTAGAGCAGTAATATAACAGTCAGTTAGAGCAGTAATATAACAGTCAGTTAGAGCAGTAATATAACAGTCAGTTAGAGCAGTAATATAACAGTCAGTTAGAGCAGTAATATAACAGTCAGTTAGAGCAGTAATATAACAGTCAGTTAGAGCAGTAATATAACAGTCAGTTAGAGCAGTAATATAACAGTCAGTTAGAGCAGTAATATAACAGTCAGTTAGAGCAGTAATATAACAGTCAGTTAGAGCAGTAATATAACAGTCAGTTAGAGCAGTAATATAACAGTCAGTTAGAGCAGTAATATAACAGTCAGTTAGAGCAGTAATATAACAGTCAGTTAGAGCAGTAATATAACAGTCAGTTAGAGCAGTAATATAACAGTCAGTTAGAGCAGTAATATAACAGTCAGTTAGAGCAGTAATATAACAGTCAGTTAGAGCAGTAATATAACAGTCAGTTAGAGCAGTAATATAACAGTCAGTTAGAGCAGTAATATAACAGTCAGTTAGAGCAGTAATATAACAGTCAGTTAGAGCAGTAATATAACAGTCAGTTAGAGCAGTAATATAACAGTCAGTTAGAGCAGTAATATAACAGTCAGTTAGAGCAGTAATATAACAGTCAGTTAGAGCAGTAATATAACAGTCAGTTAGAGCAGTAATATAACAGTCAGTTAGAGCAGTAATATAACAGTCAGTTAGAGCAGTAATATAACAGTCAGTTAGAGCAGTAATATAACAGTCAGTTAGAGCAGTAATATAACAGTCAGTTAGAGCAGTAATATAACAGTCAGTTAGAGCAGTAATATAACAGTCAGTTAGAGCAGTAATATAACAGTCAGTTAGAGCAGTAATATAACAGTCAGTTAGAGCAGTAATATAACAGTCAGTTAGAGCAGTAATATAACAGTCAGTTAGAGCAGTAATATAACAGTCAGTTAGAGCAGTAATATAACAGTCAGTTAGAGCAGTAATATAACAGTCAGTTAGAGCAGTAATATAACAGTCAGTTAGAGCAGTAATATAACAGTCAGTTAGAGCAGTAATATAACAGTCAGTTAGAGCAGTAATATAACAGTCAGTTAGAGCAGTAATATAACAGTCAGTTAGAGCAGTAATATAACAGTCAGTTAGAGCAGTAATATAACAGTCAGTTAGAGCAGTAATATAACAGTCAGTTAGAGCAGTAATATAACAGTCAGTTAGAGCAGTAATATAACAGTCAGTTAGAGCAGTAATATAACAGTCAGTTAGAGCAGTAATATAACAGTCAGTTAGAGCAGTAATATAACAGTCAGTTAGAGCAGTAATATAACAGTCAGTTAGAGCAGTAATATAACAGTCAGTTAGAGCAGTAATATAACAGTCAGTTAGAGCAGTAATATAACAGTCAGTTAGAGCAGTAATATAACAGTCAGTTAGAGCAGTAATATAACAGTCAGTTAGAGCAGTAATATAACAGTCAGTTAGAGCAGTAATATAACAGTCAGTTAGAGCAGTAATATAACAGTCAGTTAGAGCAGTAATATAACAGTCAGTTAGAGCAGTAATATAACAGTCAGTTAGAGCAGTAATATAACAGTCAGTTAGAGCAGTAATATAACAGTCAGTTAGAGCAGTAATATAACAGTCAGTTAGAGCAGTAATATAACAGTCAGTCAGTCAGTAATATAACAGTCAGTTAGAGCAGTAATATAACAGTCAGTTAGAGCAGTAATATAACAGTCTCCAGGGATCTAATCCTTGTCTTTCTATGCTGAATTTTTATATTCAGGACACTGTTGTTGATTATTATTGGTTTATTTCATCTTTATTATTTTTTCATAAAACTCCTCCAATGTATACTTTAATTTTTATGAGTGATTTATCAAAGCTGTTGTCTTGCTAGAAAGTAAAAAAGTGTCCAACGCCTAGCTACAGTTTTTGGCAGTGGTACTGTCATGCATATGGTGATTTGTAATAAACTAATGCTATGTTGAGCTGGTAGAGTATCGGGATTGGTGACCACTCCGAGCGTGTCACCGCCTTTCAGATTTGTCACAATATTAGTTGTGCAATTAAGACTCCTTGTTGTCTTGGCTGCTTTATCAAATGTAGATAATGTAATTAGTAGCATGTAACTTGAGAATATTTTAATTCATTCTGATAAAAAGTTATTGATTAGCTGTTTGAGGAAACAGATTTAAATACGCACTGCTTTGTATAGGATACTTGTGATCTGAAGTTATATTCACTAACATACTTTGGTTTCAGAAATTCAGCTGACTGATGACGGTAGTTCCGATCCATATGATTACAAGTTTGTCCGATGGATGACAGCAACAAAGGTTGGAAACTTAAAGTCCAGATTTTGTGTTTATAGTTAAAATGAATATTTACTAAAGAATATGATACATTGTCTTGAATATGCTATAAAGATCTGTCTTATTATTTTGAATATTCACGACAAAGATTTCGTTAATAGTTATTTCCTTGGATAAAAAGTGTTTAAAATATCTGTTATAATTGTCTTGAGGTGTAAATTTTATTCAAATATCAGCTCAAATTTTAAGACCACACAGTTATTGTCCATAGAAATATGTTTGTGAGGATATAAAAGATATTGCCTTATAAATGTCAAATTAATGGAGGTCCCATCATGATCTGTCTTCATTAGTATCAAATTAAGTGGCAAGATAGAAGATTCTTCTTTACCAATTAAGTTTCAAATTGTGTTTAGGCTTGTTTCCATGTTTAATATTTGTTAGTGCAGTGTAATATAACCTTACATAAAAACTCTTACAGAAATTGGCAGCCATTCCGCCATCAGCCTTCTACTCTAAGGGTCACAAGAATCTAGGAGAAAACTTCCTTCGGTTCTGCTTCATCAAGGTAGGTACACTGCAAACTAGGAAAGCACCTACATGTTTGGTAGTTGTTGTAATTGTCACTGCCGGTACATGTATTACTTTGTTATCCCTTGCTGTTTATCTGTCCTTCCAGTTATTTCTTGAGAATATCTCAAAAACTATTGCAGATTTTGTCTCCAAACTTGCCAGACAAGTCGGTCACACTGCAGAGGGGTGACTTTTTATATATATTTTGTTTATATCAAGGAATTTAGTTGTCATGGAAACAACATCTGAAATATGCGTATTTTTAGGATATGTTTGTGTTTCCTGAACATACTCAAAAAGCTACAGATTTGATCTTCTAATTTAGCACATGAGTTTATGAAACAACAACACCAAGAAAAGGTTCACATTCAAACAATTTTCTTATGCAACGATGTTTGCCAGCATACATAATAACCTAGCCTAGAATTTTGAAGTCTGTGAGTGGTGCAGGCCTGACCAAAAACTTGCTTGCATTATTGTTTCCATGTATGGCAAATAATAAGGACAGTCTGTGTACTATAGGGCTGTATGAACGGTGTAAAGGCATCTATGATATATGTCATCTTGCAGAGGGTTTGCTTTTGGTAATTTCACTTTTCTGATTTAGGGAGATTTTGAATTGGATACATTAAGTTAAAAATATGTTCATTTTGGTGCATATTTGCATTTCCGGAGTGCTATTTGCTATTTATATATTTTCTGAATTAGTTATTAATTTAGGTCAACTTCAAAACCTACTCATAAGAACCAAAATTGGATGTAACTACATCAAGGAGGAACAGGGGACATTGACGTGTACATCTTCTGGAGTATATAGATATTGTCCAAACAATTGATGGAACTACATCAAGGAGGAACAGGTGACATTGACGTGTACATCTTCTGGAGTATATAGATATTGTCCAAACGATTGATGTAACTACATCAAGGAGGAACAGGGGACATTGACGTGTACATCTTCTGCATTCCTACAAACCAACCTAATGTGTATGCTATTGTTTGTGATATTTCAGGATAATGAGACTCTGAGGAAGGCAGAGGTGATATTTAAGGAATGGAAGGAGTCTCTTTAAGTGGCCGTTCATGTCCTGCTGACGTCCATCTCTGTGTGCTCATCACACTAGGGGGAAATATTGTATACAGACTATCTAAATATACCGGACAGAAATGTCACTTCTGTGGATAAACAGACTTTTCTCAACGCTTAAATGATGTAAATTAAAGATGGTACTGTGTTAGGTGTCGGCCTATACAAGTAGGACTCTTCTAATGTAAGTCTGGATATTTTGGTGGCTTTTGTTCAAAACAGTATTTGAAAGTTTGGATTTTCGCTTCTTTTAATGAAGACCTGAGCTATGTTTATGATTTGAACGACCATTTAGTTTGAACTGTTATATTTCTTTTTGAAATTAGTTATTGTGTAAGTTTATCAAACATGGAATTGTCTATGGTTACTTTTAACACTTACCACTGATCAATATATGAGAAAAGCTAAATGTATTGATATGTTTACATTAAGGCCCAAGTATCCAGACTTACGGTTTATTAGAACTACCGGTATTATCAATCAAAGTTATTGACTACAGCCCAAGTATACGAACATATGTCATATTAAATCAACACTTTAATGTAATATCATAGTTATTGAATAAGGCCAAAGTATCCAGTCATAGAATATATTAAAACTGCTGTGAAAACTAACCTGTTTGACCTGTGTTTTACTCTGTTATATGTGCCATGTGCTATTTCCTGGTTATGAGAGGTCATCATTTCAACATTCATGTAGTGTACTGTTTAGCGATCCTGTAGATCACATGGCAGTACTCATATCACATATATATGTATATCTCGTGGTACATTGTATTCATTTAACATGCTTGATATGAAATAATAGGGTGAAGATAACTGATATTACACATAGAATCTGTTTTTTATGAAATTTTGACATATAATTTAGAGTATTGCTTTGCATTTATTATTTTAAGCAAGATTGTTGCTGTGATATTTAGGTCCTTTACCATGCTACTAGAATGAATAAATAAAACAACAGGCTTCATGTCACTTAAGCGGTGGATCCAGAGAGATTTTCTAGGACTACCCCTGCCCCCCCCCCCAGCACCACAGTGTGGTGAGCATCAACTGCTGGTCAGTAGGTGTGGTCTCCTTCCTCTACTTACAGTCCGGAGTCTACATACAGATGATATTTGGCTCCTCGGCATAAAATCAAAGATAATGATTTCATTTTTCCTTGTGTATGTAAAGCCATACATACATAGAGATATTGTGTTTTGACAAATTTTACTTAGCAATCATGGTCTCACTTTGTTGACTATTTGTTGAAGAATTTTGGTGCTTATTTCTTCAGATCTACATGTCCTATTGGTTGTTTACTTTGTACACTTTGAGTGTGAGTGTGTTGTATCCATTTATACAGTGCCACATGTAAGATTATATTTACCAATATTATTGAATAAAAGATATTTTAAACTTGGAGTTGTCTTTCCTGTGTTACTGTTATACATCCTTTGAATACATTAATAATTAAGTCATAATTGATACAACTTAAATCTTTTAATTCAAATTCTGAAACAAAAGACTAGTTCACATTTACAGGAAAAAACCCGTTAAGTTCTGGCACTTATTTATTTCCAATTCAACAGACCCAAGGGTCCACTAACAGAATGGATAACAACATTACAACACAAGTATAAAATAGCACAGTCAGTTAGGCAGGTAATACAGATTAAAAGATACTCATATGTAAAACAAAAGGAATTAGTGATAGCAAATATTCTTTAACCGTACTGTTAACTCAGCGAGAGAGGAACAGAACGTATCACAGTCTGGTGCAAAAACAAGATAGTTAAAATTACATTGAATCCTGTTTAAAATACTATACTTTCTAACGTTGATTCTGCTTCTCTGGCAGTAAAACTGGTTACAACGAATTGATCGTAGATTACGACGAGGGACATAAAAACACATTTGCTTGACTAAATATGGACAATCAAAAGCACTA